ATGGGAAGCGACTCCGTGACAATGGTCCATATCTAGGATGTGAGGTCACAGTGTCCTTGACCTTTGACCTCAAAATCTTAATCAGTTCATCATTGAGTCAAAGAATTGAATTGAAGTTTGTGTCAAATGTGAATTCCCTCTAGGCGTTCCTGAGATATCGTGTTCACAAGAATGGGATGGACAGATCCAAAAACATAATGTCTCTATCATTTAAGCAGTTTGCTCATTTGTTAAGCAAGCTCCTAAAAGTTTGCACAGTGGCTGTGGGTGGCCCTGCAACCAGAAACAAACAGCAAGCCTAAAAGTATACTCACCATCAACTCTAAAGCTAATTTATGAACACGCTGTATCTTGTTTGTTTAATCCGTACACAAACAGAAATGTAAACATGTCCAACTGCTGTGACTCAGCTAACAACAGCCGAGAGCAGTAACTTCCTGGAGTCGTCACAGTGAGGGTGCCAAGTTTGGTACCGTTGTACAGAGACCTACAACAACAACTCACCAACCATATCTGGCAACCTGCACTATAGACACACACTGTGCAGCAATACTGAGCAGATGGATAAAGTGTCTTGTTCTTTCATGACAATGTGAACAGCACAAATCACATGGAATCTGATCTTTTCAATTCTGATTTGGGCCAGTTTGGCTATGTTCACACTGCAAGCCTTAGCACTAATTCATGATGTATTGCTCAAATCTGATTATATTTTTTAAACGTCAGATTCCAGTGTAAACACGTCATGGTCCTGAACTGACCTGCATGACAAAGGTTGATCTTGTGCAGTGGCTCCCAACCTGGGGGTTATGTCCCCACTAGGGGCCGCCAAAACTTCAAGGGGGGGTCGCAAGGCCCTCTTGATTTTAAGGCATATCAGGGACAAGAAAACACGAGAATTGTCAAAAAAAAAAAAAAGTATATTAAGAATGTATGATTGCTAAAAAATAAACAATACAGACAGAGAATTGTATGAAAGGTTCCCTAAAAGCTGCTCAAAATTCATCCAAATTACTCCTTTTACACAAACATATTGCAGAGTTCACTGTTTGGGTTCATTGTACAATTTTTTATATAATATGAAATATCCCCCCCAAAAATATATGTCACTTAAGCAGTGGTCATAAGTTTATTAAAAAGTTAGAAAAGGGGTCCCTTAAGGAAAAAGGTTGGGAACCACTGATCTATAGTGACAGAAAAGTCACATAAATTCTGATTAAAGATTAAATTCAATTAAAAAATGTTTTGTATAACACTAATTCATAACAAAAGTTATCTTAGGACACTTTTCAAATAGAGGAGTACCTAGATCGTACCGTAGACCATTGCAAAAAATTAGACTTGTATCTGATTTGGACCACATATGAAAAGGGATCTGTGCTGTTCACACTGTCATGAAAAAAACAAATTCTTAGTCAAATATAAGCAAAAACAGTTTGTAGTCTGAATGCAGCTTTTCATAAGTGGTCCTAAATCAGGTGCAGGGTGGCTGTGGCTCAGAGGAAGAGCGGGTCGTCCACTAATTGGAAGGTTTTTCGTTCGATCCCCAGCTTCTCCCTGCTGCATGCTGACATAGCCTTGAGCAAGATACTGAACCCCAAATTGGTAAATGGTGCCATTCAAGTCTTCTGACCACTCAAAGCGCTTTTACACAACAAGCCACATTCACGCTTTCACACACATTCACTCAGTGAATGCACATTCACACAACAATGACACACATTCACACAACAATGACACAGCAATTTTGGGTTCAGTATCTTGCTCAATGTGGCATGGAGGACCCAGGGATCTAACCAACAACCTTCCAATTAGTAAATGACCCGCTCTACTTCTGAGCCACAGCCACCCTGCAAAGCAGTAAAATTACTCCCAATGCCTGCATCGGTGTGTGAATGTGTATGAATGCATTAGTTTCTGTTCAATGGACTTTGCCATCACTGAGTGAATGTGTGTGAACGGGTGAATGTGGCACGTAGTGTAAAAGCGCTTTGAGTGGTCGGAAGACTAGAAAGGTACTATATAAATTCTGTCCCATTTACTCGGTCTGATTTTTTGCAATGTGACCTCTGGCTAATACCAGGGGACACTGGCATTACAGTAAACAGGGTATTCTTGTGGCAAGGACTGCTTAGAAAGTGAAGAGGAAATGCAAAAAAAAAAAATGCTTGTAATTTGTTAAGCATAAAGATTTTTAAGCACTTTAACCATAAACTAACTATACTATAGTTACTATAACTATATATATATATATATATATATATAACTATAACTATAATAAGCCCTTGCTTTTCTTAATTACTCCTACAGAAAACAGTTTATGTATGTGGTTGGTTTATAATACAAGGCAGAGGTATTGTATTATTAGCAAAAGGAGAGGCTACAACAGAAACGACAGAACTGTACCAATCTGATTGTAGTTAGACTGTAGCATCGCCAATTAAGCCGTGTTAGAGAGACAGTGAATACTTAGTGTCTCTCTCACCCTCCTCTGCAACGTAAAGGCTCGCTCAGAGCCTGAGCCAATGGAGCAGCTGTCAAAGCAAATTAGAGCAGCAAAAACACTGGAGACAAGTCTCCCTCGTCCTCCTCCCCCGCCTCCTCCTCGGTCCTCCCCCCATCCTTTTCTCATTCTCCTCTCAACCTCCTTCGCCTTTTCCTCCTCCCTCCCTCCCTCCCTCCCTCCGTCTCCCCACTGTATTCCCTCTCTCCTCATTCACCCAGAGACTGAGCCACACACATACACACACGCGCGAATACAGCATGCATGTACATCATTCATGACACACAGGTGAATTTAGTGTGCAGTAGAGCTGTGTGCACCATTTGCACTATAGATTAAACAAACGACAACTGTGACAACTGATCCATTAGCAACAGAGGTAAGCTCAGGAGTAGAAATGTGTGTGTGTGTGTGTGTGTATGTGTGTGTGTGTGTGTGTGTGTGTGTGTGTGTGTGTGTGTCTTAATGACAGGTTTTTATAATGCTAATATCCTCGCATAGTCATAAGCAGGCTGGTACACAATGTCCTCACGTGCCTTTATGTTCCAATGGTATTAGTGTTCAAGACTCATCCTTCACCCTGGATACCCTCCACTACTCCCCACCATGGCCCTCCTCTCCTCCAGACCCCGACCCTCCTCTCCTCCCCACCCCGACACTTGTTTCCTCCACAACATTATCAAACTCACCATTTAGCAGGATCACTTTATGGTTGCTGAGATAAGGGAGACCGGCGGTTCATTAACAGCACTAAAACAGAGGCTCCATTATCAGCTAGAGGAGAAGTCCCTTGAGAAAACACTGCTAGTACTTTTCAGGGGGATAGGAATTACACTATAGGACTCTAAATAGCCAGAAAATACCTAATTAGTGCCACAATGTTGCGATCAACTCACAGATAGACAGACAAACCGACTAATAATGATGATTTTGGTCAGCGACAAGCTATCAAATGCTCTCCAGCTGCTTTAAATGAATTTCCTGAAGAGTGATGAGAACCCCCAGCACTGTTTCCCAGGTCGCTACCTGAACTTGACCCACAGTCATTAATAGATTAGTTTATTAATCGATTAGTTGTCAACTATTAGATTAATTGCCACCTATTTTGATAATCAAATCATTTTTAATCGAATGAAGAAAACATTTCCAAATTCTCTGATTTCCTGCTGCTTCTAAAACGTAAATATATTTTCTGCTTTCTTAAGTCCTCTATGACAGTAAACTGAATATCTTTGGGTTGTGGACAAAACAAGACATTGGAGGATGTCACCCCCCCCCCCCTTTCTGACATTTTATGGACCAAACAACTAATTGATTAATTGATAAAATGATGGACAGATTATTCAAGAATTAAAATATTTCTGACTAGGACTGCTACTAACAGGTATGGTATTTGAAGAAAAATGCAATTTCAGACTGACTTTGGAGGCTTTGTCAACTAACTGCATCCCTAAAAGGAGTCTGTATCATGGTCATCATCAAGTCCAGGTACCAAACAACTGCCTCATGGTGGATGCTGCTGTTGTGAAAAATCAAGAAGTTTTGTTTTTTGTTTGTAGGGCTCCACCTAAGATTATTGTCATTATTGTTAAGTCTGCAAATAATTTTATCCATTTATCAACCAATAGTTTGGGCTATAAAATAATAAAGAAATGTCCATCACAACGTCTTAGAGCTTCAAGTTGTATTATATATGATGTATTAGCATTATTTCTTATGTTATTTTATAAGTAATGTTTGTTTGTACCGATTAACAGTTTAAAAGCTAAATATATTATTAAAGATCTATTAAAAAAAACAGAAAATATTTGGAAGCTGGAAGCTGAAGCCAGTGGATATTTGGTATTTTGCTTAAAGAAAACTATCTGATAAACAAATTGATTTCTGTCTATCATTACTAATCCAATTCAACAACTCTTTATTTTAGGAAATAGGAAATAATAATGTAGAAATACATACACAAATAAATAAATAAATGTAAAAATACAGAAATTGACATTTTCATAAATAAATAAATAAATATATAAATAAATAAAAGAATACATGTAGAAATATAGAATACATGTATGTATAAATAAATACATTTTAAAATACAGAAATATCCTTTTTACCAAAATGTATTTATTTTTTCTTATATGAATTTAATTATTTCTTTCTGCATTTAGACTATTTATTTATTTATACTTATGACATTATTGTCCTTTGTATGATAATGCTTACCACGGCAAAATACTAAAGAAATATATGACTTAATATTGATGTTTTTTAATTAAATACACTATAATTAAACAGTAACATCATGGCAACATCTATAAACTTACACTGTGAGGAGACAGACTGTGTGAGACTGTAGAATGCTGCCGAACTTTGATGAACATCTCGGACAGAGTTAGGAGCAGTAAAGGTGGAATGAAGTCTCTATAATGGAATCACATTGGACAACAATCACAGTCACCATGCGCTGCTCAGACATGCCTCAGCCCTGTGTGGATGTTACCTGGATGACACCTTCAATCGTCGGTGAGCTCCAGCGCAGCGGGGGGAAGCTGCGGCCGGGCGGGGTCCCGGACGGGGTCCCTGACTCAGTCCGCTCCTGACCTTCCCGCTGCAGCGGTTCTACCAGCTCTAGTCCCCCTCCTCGCTGCTGCAGCAGACGCCACAGTAAATCCACCCGGAGCGGAGCGCAGGGGAACGCTGGCAGCGGGCTGTTGACACACGGATGGTTTGTTTTGTGCGCAGCGACAGCGCTGCTGATGCGGCTCGCCGTCCCTCCCTCTGCCTCCGTGCGTATGTGTGACGCTGAGCCGTGGCGTGCCGTGCCGTGCTGGTGCGGACAGGAGCCAGACAGGACGGCACACACAGAGACACACACACACACACACACACACACACACACACACACACACACACACACACACAGAAAAAGACAAAACACGCCCAGCCGGCCATCCACGCTCCGACAGGACCCGCCTCCTACCGTAATACTGCGAAGAGCCAGCCAGCTCAGGAAAAAGCTTCAGTCTGAGACAGTTCAACGTCTTATGGCTCCATGGCTATGTGACGACAGGAGCACAATTCCTGTTCCAGCAGAGACAACTAACAGTGACTTGAGAGAAGAAAAGTAGGACCATTTCTAGTCAAGTCATCATCATGAATTAATTGCTTCTCCTTGAACTGCTATTTTTGGGGTCTCTGGTCTAACTATTAAGTGCACTAGAATAATTGGTTTTGCATCGTTAATTGCGGCTGAAGAACAGTCACTGTAAATCAAATATTCCCCCACCAACTACACCCTGGTCACATGATTGCACAAGTCACACAAGTCATTTTATACTGGCAACCAGTAACAGTCTGTATCCTCTGGTCTTTCAAATTAATATATTGACTTGACTCATTTGGCTGACCTATCCTGTAACATTATGTTTCTAACTTCCCAGATAGAAACAGAATCCTTTTCATAATGTATGTGAGCTGTAATGTGGGCTGGAAACCATAATGCTGTTCTGTATCTTATTCACTTGTGTGCTTAGCCCTTTTTAACTGTACTATAGCATGTGTTTGTATATCTATGTGTGTATACGTATATATATGTGTAACATATATATTATTTTTTATTTATTTTCATTTTTTTATGTTGTGTATTTTGTATGTATGCGGTGGGAAGAAGGGGATTCCAATTAAAAACATAAATATTTGTAAATCTACTTTTACTTCATACTACTGTATGTAACTTCAGCTTTTCAAGGTGTGTCTCTATTCCTTGACCCAAACAAAGATTAAACCCAGAAATGATAGGGGTGCCCCATGTGCAAGGTCTGTGCCATGCAGCAACCTTTTTCTGTGTGAGCTGGTCATCTCTGTGCAGCTGGTATTGTAAGTGCATTAACTGGTAGTAAGGTGCAAATTTTTCACAAAAAGTCACTAGTCGCTGGTGGAGGGGCACTGGGATGCATTCTGTGGCTAGGTAGCACTCCACTAGTGGGAGGATGTATCGGGTTTTGGGGTTTTTTAAGTGGTAAATCTAAATCAAGCAATTAATACAAAGAGAAATAATACTCATTACATTGTAAATAAAATAATGGTAGTTGGTAATGTATAAGACCCCCCCACGACTTGAATTCATGAAAAAAAAAAAAATTCTAAAAGCTTTGCTTAGTTGACTGGATATACAGGGTCATGGTTCATGGTTTGAACAAGGGGTTGTTTAAAACTGGAAGGAAAGTTTCTAATGACTAATAAAAAATAAAGATAGAGACAGTGTAGGGACAGCAGTGTCAATGAGAGCACATGCCGCAAACTATTGTTTCCTTTGGCTTTGTAAGAATGATGGGTTCAAAATGAGAGAAAGCTGATGGCTCTGAGAGTATAACCATAACTAGATGAAGTAAATTGGCTCTGATGTCTGCAATCTTACTCTTCACAGCTACTGGGGCTGCGCTGAGGTTTAGAACGTGAAGAGGGATTTATAACTAGATTCATGGGGCTGAACCCCTCAGGTTATGGTGGTGGTCTGCAACGAAATTGGCAAGTAAAGCCATTCTTGCATCCTTAACAGCTGCTTGATAGGCATGCATTACATTTCTAAGATTATCAAGAGACGGCAGTTGTTTATCAGATTTTCCACCATGGACATGTATTTGGTTTGCGTTCCTTGAGTGTGAGAGGAGCAGTAGAACCCAGAAAGGTGAAGCAGTGGACTGGAGGCAAGAAATGAAGACGGAAAAGTGAGGTGCAGAATTTGAGTTAAAGACTTGAGAGTAAACATTATAGTCTACTGTTTGTGGCCGTTGTGATGGTTTGGTGATCAGATACGTGGTTATCTATTGGCTCTAAAGGCCAGAACACACCAACCCGACGGCCGACCGTCGGCAGAAAAGCAGTCGGACTGATCAGTCGGCGCCCGTCTCCCCAAGTCGGTCAAAAAAGTGCTTCCGAACACACCAAACCGACGCCGACTGGAGCGTACGTTCTGTGCGTGCGCGAGGTGTAATACGTCCCCATAACAGCAGGCGGCGCTAATCTGTGTTGTAGCCCCCCAAAAAAAAGAAAACCGGAAATGACGGATCACTCTAGACCTAGTAAACACAGAGCACGCTTTCGTCAGTCATTGTTTTCATCAGAGAGTGTTGATAGTACTCAAGAAGGATCGTTATTGTCATTACTCGCTGAACGGAAAATACGATGGCTAATAATAACAAGATACTGGCGTTGGCGTAGTACGTTTACCATCGTCACTTCCGGTTTTCTCGTGCACTCAGTGATTCGCTAGTCAAGGGCTAGCACTCCACCAATCAGATTGGTCATTGAGGCCGACGGCCACTGGCCAATTCTACATGTCGAATCAGCCAAAATGAACACCGACGCCGACTGACGACGGCACGGTACACACCGAACCGACTCGAGTCACCGACCTCGCCTGACTGTCCGATGACGTCCGACGGCTGATAATCGGGTTGGTGTGTGGCCTTAAGGAGTCCAAACAAATACCAAAGGACAGAACAAGGTCCAGGGTGTGTGTAAGCCCTTTAACTGACTCATAGGCCTTTTCCACCAACAGGAAACTGGATCTGTTCAGGTTCAGGCACCTAGTTTTGAACCGTTTCCGAGCATTTTGACTAAAGCTAAATTGGTTCGGAACCAAAACTCCTTGGGAACTAGGCGTGTCATATTCTGCTATTCACATGTGACATGTAGTGTAAAAGCGCTTTAAATGGTCGGAAGACTAGAAAGGCTATACAAGTACAGGTCCATTTTCCATTTACCAAGGTCCCAAGAATCTTGAACAGAACCAACTCAAGAACCACAACTAAAACACTAACAGAGAAAAAGAGTCATCAGGACTGGGACCGGCAAGCATGTAGTCTTCAGCTTTCTGTCAAAAAGACCTAAGGACTATAATATATACTGGGGCTGTTAGTTGGGAAATTTGTATGTGGTTTTAGGTTCCAGTGACAATAGGCTATTATTTGCACTTTGTAGAGGATGGAAAATTTCACTATTACAAATCCAGGTGAAATATAAAAGTTCAATCAGTGCTAGTGAAAAAACATTCTCTTTTGAATCAATTTCGTCTTTTCACTGGTGACCATAGTAATTCTTTGAACGACTTTTCAACATCAAAATGTTCACTGGGAAGTTTTATTATCACAGCCTCCACAGTGCATCAGAAGGATTTTCAGCAGCAGTTTTCAAAGTCACCAAGTTTCTGATCGCTCTGTTGAGGTCGGTTAAATTGTTAAGAACAGCAATGCCAGCAGGAGTAAAGGCGTGGTACCACTGGGCTTTGCCTTTGATTTGAAAAAAAAAAAAATGTTGTGTGATGTGATGGCTTGCTGTATAATCAGGGTACTTATAGTCCAGTGTTGTATGACTAAAATATCGTGTATAGCTCAAAATTCCTGCAGCTCTTTCTGCAGGATATAGGAAAATTACTAAAGTGTCTAATTGAGCTCTGTATGTTTTTTATATTTGAGAAAATAACAAAGTGGCCTAATGTTAAAGGAATTCAACTGACAAAACTAAAGAAACTTACAGCTTGCAATCAGAAGACAAGGAGGGGACGAAAGGTCAAGCTGACATTCAGCCTCTGACTGGAACCCTGCCACTGTCATCAGTTCACAGTGGCTCGGGTGTGACTGTCAGCGGACCACAACTTCAGCCTCCAGATGATTCTAGAAGTAATGGGACATAATCAAGTAGTTCTACAGAAATAAAAATTAGCATATTTGCTTTTTTACAGAGAGTTAGATGAGAAGACTAACGCCATTCACTCTCATGTCTACCTTCAGCATCTTAGCTTAGCAGATGGACAGGAAACTAGCCTGGCTCTGTGCAAAGGTTAAAAAATCCTCTAAAGCTCACTGATTGCCACGTCATGTCTTGCGTGTTTAATCCATACAAAAACAAGTGTGTTAAAGCAAAACACTTTTGGTTTTAAAGGGGTGCCAGCCTGGGCGTAGCAATACTAACTTCCCAGAGACTTCCTTATTGTCACCTGTAAAAAATGCCAGGCCACCCCAGTTTGGTGTCAGATGCTGTCAGATTTAACAGTAATTCTGATAATTGTTTTTAGACTAAGAGATAGGCTTACTGGTTTAATGAAAAAAGACATGGAAATATTGAAAATAAATTTAAATAAAACAATGTATTGATTTCTAATGCCATCTTTAGATATTTCTATTCAGTGCTTTACTAATGTGCCAAGTAATGTTTTTGAGTTCAAATATCTTCATTTGTGGGCTTTTTCAGGCACATTGATATATGTGATTGTATGTGAATAATCAGCATATATTTCTGCCTTAAAGTCTCCATGACACCCTCTGGACACCATGTGAATATTTCTTTAGATAAGCCCCTGATTTGGACAGGTCGGCCCCTCCACAGCCAACAAGTAAAGACTCAAATAACCACAACAGATAAGTGAATCTATTGAGCACTGCGATAATTACATTGTGCGTGTTAGAAATCCACTCACGATTTGAAGTTTACAAAACTGTGCACACACAACAATATCCATTTTACTGCCTCAAGACAGCTAATAAAAGCCCAGTTTTTCTTTTCAGAGTATGTCGGCTTTAATTATAAGTGTGAGCGTGTCTGCTGAAATAATAGAAGTGATGGTGAAGATAGAATACAATTCATGTCATTTCAGCCACTGTGAACCAACCATATAATAGGTGGGTAGGTTATTATAGAGTTCCATTAGCCTACATGAGAAGGTCAGAGCAGCTCACACATCAATCGTGTGTGGCGACAGAACAGTTTCACTAATAGACAGTTTGAATGGGGTCAACTGTGAGGCTCAGGAGACCTGTACCAGTTACTATCAGGATGATAGATGAACACGCTGCTCTCCTGCTCGCTCTGTTCACTGAGAAATG